TTTCTAAAAAATAAAAAAAACACATTCTAAATAATCAAATAAAATCTTCATTATTACTATTCTTAAAGAGAGACACACAATTCTGCACTGCTTCATTTTGTCTTTATGTCTCCCAGCATGCTTTGAGACGCTAAATTGGGGAATAAAGCTCCTGCTCCTCATTCATTATGCAGATTTGCAAGGATCTGTTAAATGTGCCCTGCAGTGTCGGATTAAAAATAGGTCTGTATCTTGTCATTTTCAAAAGTATTCTCTATGTTGCATTTTTTATTGTACTGGGAACAAGAACTAAATCCCTTCTCTTCCACATCAAACTTTCCACATGGGTAGTTAAATGTGTGCCCCTCTGGTTGTAACAAAAAGTGTGGATGGTGAGGCCACCAGGAATTGAAAGAAAACAGTTAATTCTTCCAGAAAAAAAAGTCAGTTGTCACCCAATTATGATATTCTCCAAAGTCTTTAAACGTGAGAATAAAACATCATCTGCACCAAGCAGCAGCATCAGTGGATGAGGAGCCAGCTCTCCCACAAGGCCCGTGCTCATCTCTGTAGGAGAGGCAGAAGCCTTCAGTGGATCGGTCTTTCTCTATGTGTGTGTGTACGAGTGTGTGTGTGTGTGTGTGTGCAGCGGAAATCTGCCTGAGGCGGCTTGGAGGAGTCCCGCCAGCTGCCTCCGTCCCAACCAGACAGCCAACAGCTTCCAATCACATGTCAGCAATATGCGAAGCAGAGCTTCTGTCCAGTGGGCCGCTGACATGTGTTACCCTTTGGCATGCATAATGCAGCAGCCACCTCCTGCAGGCGCTCGGCTCAAAAAGCTGATTCCTCCAACTTCTTCTTCTTCTTCTCTTTTTTCTGGTCTTGTTGTTTTTGCTCCTCCTGCCCTTGCTGGTTATCTTCAGCGAAATAATCTCATGATATCATGAGGACTGATGGCTGCACAGTGTGATTTGCTGATTAGTGTGTGTGTGTGTGTGTGTGTGTGTGTGTGTGTGTGTGTGTACACATACATCTCTCTCTGCAGAAATCTACGGATGAGCAACTCCCACATAAGCTCCTGATCACTTCTGTAAATGCTTCCTGTCACCTTCAGTGGTGTAATGATCATGAAAATTGTGACCTTGATCTATGGAAAGCCATAATGTGACTGAATGGCCTCCTCCCACGCATTTCCTCGCCGACTCCGAGCTCGCTAAAGGACGACTCTGAGGGAGATTGTTAGGCGGCAATAAAAAGCTGCGGTTTGGCTTGCAATGGTTCGGGTATTCCTCCTCTTCTTCACTGCCGTTCAGCTAAATCTCCAGCCTGAATGTAGATGAGTCTGCTTGCCCTCAGGCGCAGAGGAGATTTTATTGTCTGGTGGTCCAACATGATCAAGCACATAGCTGTATTTAGAGGACAGTGCAACACTGATGTTATGTGCCATATTTGTGGTTTAATAGTAGATTTAAAAAACCCGTCTTCCATTTTTGTGTTATTGGTAACATTACCGTTGTTTACCTCTTCATGAAGGAGCAGAACTGTGACCGCATGAACATAAAATACAGGTTTCCTTCCCAAATAATATAATAAATCATGCACAAGAGTGACTTTTTCTGTTTTATAACATTGCACGGCTGCAAGAAAAGAAAAAGGGGAGACCATTTTTGGCATGATGCTGCTTGAAACTCTCATTTATTCTGGAAAATCTGATGTGCACAACATTGTTTATGAGCACACCCTTGCCAGCTTTTCATATTTAAACGAGCAAAGGTTTAATTACCAAATGATGACAGTGTCATATGGTGCCATGATGGCGCAGGGTGTCTAATGAATGCAGAAGAGCGAGGGATGTGCATGCGACACTGAGTGACAGTGGGATGCACAGATCAAAACAGAAGAAGGGGGAGACGGTAAAACATCTGTAATTTGCGCTTTGCTAATGTTCAATGGTTGCTCATGGATTAAGAATTTTAAACTATTGTCTGCCAGATGGAAGAGAAGAGGGAGGGGAGGGATGAAGGCGGAGTGTGCTTCTGAGCAGCATGTTTACATCTGTATATCAACCCCAGATTTAGCAATCAGACAGGCAAAACCAACTGCCTCTGAAAACACTCTCAGGGCATCGCATCTATTTCCAAGCAGCACAAACATTAGAGAAATGATTTTGCTGTCTTTCTCTTGGAGGTGTATTTAAATTTGCCAAAGACAGCTTGGAGACTGTGGGGAGCTTTTATTTTCCCCCTCTTTCACAACTCACTCAATTCATCTCGACATAATCACGAGACAGCTCGGAGCGTCGGACCTGGGTCTGCGTTAATTTTGCCGAGATGTTGATGTTCTCTGAATATGGTGCCATAGCAGGATCAGTTAGCGGGAAAGTGTGTGTGCTTAACCAGGCTGAACGGAACGGAACCGATATCAGATCAGGGCCGTTGTCATTAAAAGGTGGTGTTAGAATGTGCTGATGTGTTTTAACCAACCAGAAGAGTTTCTCCATTCCCACTATCTGTTCTGTTTGTGCAGCCATTTTTAATGTCAGCATTCTTTCAACCAAAAATGAGAAAGTGCACTTTTATTCTCACGTTTGCTACCAGGGCTGCATTGTGGAGCAGTTAGTAGCACTGCTACCCTATAGCAAAGAGGTCACAGGTTTAAACCCCTGCTGCAGCTGCATGCCCTCATACATCTGTAATAGTTTGTTTGATTTGTTGTCTTTGGGTGGTCCTGATGGCCTGGAGACCCGGTCCAGGGTGTCCCCCACCTGGTTGCTGCATCAGACACCAACTCCCCACGACCCTACATGGATTAAGGTCAACTTTACTCATATTTAAATACATTTGGTCTCTAGTAGGAATGAATGTAAGTCTTCCTTTGGAGAAAAAAGCCTTGGTGCGCCTGTTTGAGGACGTAGAAGTCAGCTGGAGGATAATCTTAAGGCAGGATCTGGAGTTTTACTCCCTGATATTTGGACATCTTGCCTCTGATTGGCTAACAGCAATGCAACTCTACCACTGACTCAGTTATATCTGGAAGTCGAGACCTTCTCTGCTGTTTTCTGGACGCTAAACCAACAACAGCCTTTCTCGTCGTGAGTCAAGATGGATGAGTCCTTCCTTACATGGGAAGCTTGTTGTCACATGAAGAAGGGTACAACTGCAGACCTGCAGGTTCCTGCCTCCAGCAGCAATTCTGCGGGTCTCCTCATATTGAACACCCCCCACCCCCCCTTAGCCAATGGCGCCCCCAAGGGGTGGCCAGGGGTGGCCATGGCCATAGAAAATTGTTGCCCCCCCCAGCAACAGACAGTGGTAATAAATCTTATTAATGTTCACTCAAACCATACATTGATCCTATTTATTCAAGACATAATTGTAAAACAAAAATAAAAATAATGCAAGTAACGAGTGAAGAAATAATCAGACTAAAAAATAATGCACATGCTGCTCACCATTTTAAACATTTTTTATCTCCATAGTATTTTTTTTGGTGAACCCAGCAGTAGGTGAATTAAACTAAAATAATACATTTTAAAATAAAATAAAAAATTAAATCACTGAAATGTCTTTTTCTGAAATGTTTGTAAAATGTAAGTGAAATGTTTTGAATACGCATACTGTTTTAAAAAATAATAATAAAGGAGCAATGTAATACATTGCCACAGGCAAAACTCTCCCAGTTACCACAAGGACCAATTTGGTGTCCCACCCCAAAAATGTTTTGGCCCTGTCTGGTCACCTTTATCCATTTTTTTCTGGAGGCGCCCCTGCCTTTAGCTCCTGATCAGGTGATGACAGCTTCAACACACCTCGCTGACTCTATGAATGGAAGTGTGACATAGATCTGTCAGGATCAGAAACTAATGCAGGAGATAGATGTAGACTAATTTCATGTTCAGCCTGCAAGAAAAACTCAGAGTGACTTATTATAACCAGAAATACGCTGGAAATTATTGCTGATAATTCAAAGCAGTAATTTCATATACATGACATAGGAAAACGGTAATTGTTTTATTCTCCAATTGTTTAATTGGCTAACTGGTAATATTTAAATTATTCTATGGTAATAAGTTTGTTTAGTTGAAACTTTGGTGAAAAGTTGTGGAAGCATTCACCAAAAAGGAATGATGACACATTACAGAATAGAATAGAATAGAATAGAATAG